CTTTTGTTTCCTTGATTATTAATAATTTAAAGATTGTTTAAAAATTGGTTAATATTATTCTAACGTTGGCTTGCCTAGCAAGTGAAATGTTAGGCGCCATCACGGTCCGAAGGAGGGAATTTCGGGTCGTGACAGTTGGTATCAGAGCACTAGGTTACATAGGTCTCACGAGCCACGAGCAAGCTTAGTAGAGTTTGAAGGATCGGTACGGAGACGTCTGTACTTATCTCTCAGAGGCTATGAAGTTTAGGAACAATATCGCTTCTTTCTTATTCTGTCGTGCGATTTTATTCTATCATCGATGATCGAACCATTCTACTCTTATTCACTCCTAGATGGTGATAACGCGTAATACCTCTACCGATGGACAGGGACCAGAAACCTCGGTGGCAACTATGGCCAGGGGTAGAGGTCGAGGCCGAGGTCGTGCTAGAGGTCGAGGTAGAGCTCAATCCAGAGCTCGAGCAACTGCACCTGTTGAAGAACCTCAGGTAGACCTTCAAGAGGAGGTCCAACAAACAGGGCTGCCACCCAAAGAGATAACATACCCAGTAACAGACTTCCTAGAATTATAGCAAGCAACCCAATTTGAATCTGAGTAAGCCTTTAAGAAGAATACCCTTAGCAGGGTCATTCAACAGATAACGAAGGACGTGTATAGCAGCCTGCATATGAGTAGACCTGGGAGCAAGCAAAAATTGACTCAAATGTTGAATGAAGAAGGCTTAGTCAGGTCTTGTATGCTGAAGGAAATTCAATTTTTCCACTAATCTCCTAAAAGGATAAGGATTAGAGAGCAACACCCCAGTTCATTGTTAAGTTTACAATTCAAGTCCAATGGAGCCACAACAGGAGAGCAATCTGAACAGTGAAATTCAGCAAGTAACTCTTTAGTGTATTTGTGCTGATTCAACAGAAAGCCTTGGGGAACTCTAGAAACTTCAATACCCAAGAAGTAGTGCAAATCACCAAGGTCCTTGATCTTGAATTCATCATCCAATAAAGACTTAAGAGAATCCAATTCCTCAACATCATCCCCAACCAATAATATGTCATCCACATAAACTGCAAGAACAACTGTAGAAGCTGATGAAGATCTAATGAAAAGTGAATAATCATTGAGGCTAGAATGATATCCCCAGGAGATAAGAGCAGAAGAGAGTTTGGCAAACCACTATCTTGATGCTTGCTTAAGCCCATAAAGGGACTTTTTGAGTCTGCACACAAGAGGAGACCCAGAAGGAGCATTGGCAGGATAAAAAACAGACAACCCAAGGGGGACTTTCATATAAACTTCTTCTGAAAGATCCCCATGTAAGAAGGCATTGTTTACATCAAGTTGGTAAATAATCCAAGTCCTTTTGGCTGCAATAGCAAGGAGGCATGTGTTGAGCAAATATTGAAACTAACATCATGGGATGTTAACATTGTAATTAATAACTTTTTATATAGCAATTTGACATTTATTGATAAAAATTAATGTTTTGTGACATTGAGCTTTAGGACTACTTGACAAGAAATATGGTCGTTATAGTTACTACAATTATTTTAAATAGCGACTAGTGTTGCTCGTCTCTAAAAGATAATCTACGACCAGTTAAAGATTGGTCGCTAAAACTGGTTAACGACCGGAAAATATATATTTTCCATAATATATTTATCGACTATTAGGGAGGAGAAGGCTGGTCGCTAAAATTGTTTAACGACGGGCAAATATATACAGTTTTACAATATATTAATTGTTTACTGGGACGAGATATGTAGTCTCTGAAGGTATTTAACGACTAGATTTTTTTTCCGTCTCTAAAAACATTTAACGACCAGGTTTCTGAACCGATCATTGTTGAGCTTTAGCGGCGGAAGCTATTATGATGGGTGGCGACCGGTTTTTTCCCGTCGCAATTGCTCTATTAGGACCAGAATTTGATCTTTAGGGACCAGATTTCCCTTAGTTAAAGGCCGTTTTTCTTGTAGTGCGAAGAAAGTGGGGCACACTGAGCAAGTACGAGAAATTAGCCCCGCTCCGCTTTCTTAAAAGCAAGGACCACTACGGGAGGTCATGAAGAGGAGTAGGAGCCAGCTTTAGGGGTTCAATCGATATGACAATGATGTATACTTGATAAAGTTTTTGGCGCCACCAAAATACTAAAAAAAAAAAGCGCTTTTGCAATAGTCAACGTAGTCCCTTCTGAATAGGAGGGGAAACAAAAAAGAGTGATATGCCTCTAATGTCTTTTTATCCTTTGTTTGGGGTTCCCTAGCAAACAAAGGTATTCACATCACACGTTTCATGTCAAAATGGCAAAGCAACATGGTATTGACAACATATTTCATTTGGTGTGTTGTTTTTAAAGGAATTCTAGTGGTGTGTTGTTTTTAAAGGAATACCAGATATATGCAAAATACAATTATAGAATGAGACTCATAATGGAAAGAATAGACGCAAGTCCTCAATAATAATACATGGCATAAGTTGCATATCCATAATTGCGATTTATAAGACGCATTTGGCAGTTGCGATTTGGCAATTGCGATTTTTCATTGCAATTGCGACTTACAAGACGCATTTGGAAAATTATGAGTCGCAACTTAATCGTGATTTTAATTTTTCGATGTCGCTTTGGGATTAAGACTTGATCTATGTTTAACCCTAGCAATTCAAACTGAACTGTCATCCTTTATCCTGCTAGGAGCTCAAATTTTGGCGGCGATTACCGATCATCCAATAATATGGACGAGAGGCAAAACCATCGGAAGAGGCAGTTTTGGTATCGTCAATTCAGCAACAACAACAAACTTCTCCATTGATATTCCGTCGACAATCGCAGTAAAATCTGTCTTGTTTTCGCGTTCAAAGTTGTTACAGAAAGAAAGAGAATTACTACACGAGTTTCAAGATTGTGATCATGTTATTCGATGTTTCGGAGCTAATGTTACTGATGAAGATGGGAAGATATTGTACAACATGTTGCTCGAGTACGCGTCTGCTGGAAGTTTAGCTTATCGGATTGGTCAAAATTCAAGGCAAGGGTTGCAAGATTTTGAGGTAAAATAGTACGCGAAATCGATTTTATTCGGGATTAGTCATATTCATGGAAGAGGTTTCGTTCACCGTGGCATTAAACCAGATAACATTCTTCTTGTTGGTACTGATAAAGTTGCCAAAATTGCTGATTTCGGGTTCGCGAAGAAGGTTGGAGGAGTAAAGAGTCAGAAAAGAAAGCACGGACTCAAAGGAACACCTATGTACATGGCGCCAGAATCAGTTCTTGATAACGAGTACGGACCTGAACCTGATGTTTGGGCTTTCGGATGCACTGTCTTTGATATGGTTACAGGGAAGACAGTGTGGGATTGCAGTGAAGCTGACAACGTTGTTTATCTATTGTGCAAAATTGGAATGGGATCACCGGATTTGCAGAACAAAAGATTGTCAAAAGAGGCTGAAGATTTTCTGAAAAAGTGTCTTGTTAAGGAGCCGAGATCGCGATGGACTGCTGATATGCTATTAAAGCATCCATTTCTTTCATCTAATAATAATGTTGTTGTTCGTGAGCAGAAAAGGAAAAAGGAACTCAACTCGTTTTTGTTTATTCGACATCTGTGCTGGTGAAAGTAATCCTTTGATTGACGATTTCTGCAACGGAGATGGATATGCTAAAACCAATGAAGTTGTTGAATTGCAGATCCAATAAAAGAAGAAAGCTACTAGCTAGAAGGATGCTGATTATCAGTTTTGATTAGAAATTTACAAATGTAAAGAATTATACTAATGTAAAGAACTACGTTTGGGCTTGATCCCCATAGGAGCTTAGCCCGGGGTACGTAGGCAACCTGTGAGAAAACGTGAGATCAGGTGCAGCCCCTTGTATTAAACAAAAACAATTTTGTGTTTATATTTTCTTAAATAGTAATGTTCGACTTGGACTTGCTAGTGATGGATTACAGCCATTTCAGTATTCAAAAACTTCATATAGCATTTGGCCTGTGGTTCTTATTCCTTATAATTTACCGCCTTGGTTGTGTATGAAACAGGAAAATTTTATTTTTTCAATGCTTATTCCTGGTCCAGAAAGAGGTATTTAGCAAGGTTGATGCAAAAATAAGCAAAGCACTGGATGAAGTGTTAGTAGTAGAGCAGACTTCTGTCTTACACAAGCTGAAAAAGATAAAAGACTGAATCTGAAATTGAACTGCCAATGAAATTAGTATTTTGAAGATTTTATCAAATGGAGTTTTCCAGTACCGTCTTGCCCTCTAGCTGTATTCANTTCAATGAAATACTTGCTTACAATATGTATGAAGGTTTGGGTTTGTATCATTTTTTGTACTATCACTATTATTCAAGTCCATCTGAATGTGTAGTCCTAAAGATATTGTTTTGTTATTTATGTTATATTCATCATGTTCCGGAAGATTTGTCATTTATGTTATGAAAGATCCCAAATAATATGTATTTTGAAGATTTTATCAAATGGAGTTTTGCATCGTCTGCTCTCTAGCTGTACTTTCATGCAATAATAACTAACAATATGGAGCAGCTTATCAAATTTAGTGCTTGCATATTAGTTTGAACAGTGCATTATTTTTCCACACCAGAAAATTTCTATGATCATCATGATCATATTTGAACAGTGCATTATTTATCTTGTAATGCATTAACTCAATGGATATTTTGATTATTGTAGGATAAATTTGAGAGTGTTGACATGATTGATCATATATTGGGATGGATGAAAGAGTTATGGAACAAATGGAGAGGACACTTGCATGCCAAATATGGGGGTGGAGTAATGGCGAAAGACTTGAAAGGTGACACTTCTTCAAAGGCTGAATTACTGTCCGCTCTACGTTCAACTAGATAGGAAAACAAATCTTTAAGTGAGGAAAACAAATCCTTACATGATCGCTTGTCTACCTCACAAGATGAGATTAAAGAAATGAAGAAAATAAAGGAATTCCTTGCTGCTCAACAATCACATGTCTCGCCTATGACATCGCTCGTTTCAACTGAATGATCACTATTTTTGTCTGCTGACCAAGTTAGTAACAATATACTCTGCTTTTTAATTTTTTTGTTGATTTTTATATAGTCATTTCTGTCTTATTGCTATTTCTGTTGCATTCATGAATTTATATTCCTTCAAATTAAAAAATATGGGCAGACACACTCAACTGGTACAAATAGAAAGGCTCGTCCAGTGAGTCATGACACTAGCGTGTAACCTACGAGTTTTATACTCATGTTTATCTGTCATGTTTGGTGGAGGAAAATCCCCTGCATTCTGTGGTACTATATATGCTTAAGCAAAGTAAATTGTACTGTGCTTAAGGATATTTCTGAATTAACTTTGCCATGTTTTGTGATTTTGAGACTGATTCTCATTCGTAGTAGTATTAACTAGACCAGATTTCCCTTCGTTAAAGGCCATTTTTCTTGTAGTCGCGAAGAAAGTGGGGTACACTGAGCAAGTACGAGAAATTAGCCCCGCTCTGCTTTCTTAAAAGCAAGGACCACTACGGGAGGTCATGAAGAGGAGTAGGAGCCAGCTTCTTAAAAGCAAGGAATTTGGAGTGGGGAAGCCCTTCACCTTCTTACATAAAGATAATGTAAGACAAGAGGGGAATACATGAGTAATCTCGTAAAGTTCAAAGCAAATTTGCAATTCCTTGCAGCAAAGTAACTGGCACAAAACATTCCGCGACACATGATATGTTCTGGTGAAAGCAGCTGGACTTATACAAAATAACAAAATAAACCTTCTCCTCTTCTTTTATCGAACCGAAGTTTAATTTACCGTTCCAAAATTTTTCTAATTAATTTTCTTATATTCTTGTAGCATTGTTGATGTTGCTGGATAACACCTGATGAATTTAGACTGCTTTTGGGGTAAGCGGTTTAACCATTTCTAGTATAAATTTACATATATTATTTTACCAATAGTTATTTATAGTCTTTTCAAAATTTTGTACTTACAGGTTTTGAAGATTAAAGCTACAAGCCAAGATACAAGTTTAGAAGAAACACAAGCTCATTATTATTTTGCTAGGAATGTTATGTAAAACATGATTTCATGCATAGTCTAGCTCAGGATGTTAGCAAAGTTTTTTTGCTAAGGTGTTGAGCAAATATTGAAACTAACATCATGGGATGTTAATATTGTAATTAATAACTTTTTATATAGCAATTTGACATTTATTGATAAAAATTAATGTTTTGTGACATCGAGCTTTAGGACTACTTGACAAGAAATATGGTTGTTTGTCACGACCCGAAATTCTCTCATTCGGACCGTGATGGCGCCTAACATTTCACTTGCTAGGCAAGCCAATGTTAGAATAATATTAACCAATTTTTAAATAATTTTTAAATTATTAATAATCAAGGAAACAAAAATGGAAGCAAAGTTTGAAATATAGTGAATAATTCATAAAAACAACGGTGTCTAAATACCATCCCAGAATTTGTGTCACAAGTGCACGAGCTTCTAGAATAAATACAAATAAGGTCTGAATAAAATAA